CATCCACTTCCAATGTCACTGCTGCATACACACTGCCTACACTTCCTTGTGCGAGTCTGCTGCCGGAAGCTGCGCTGGATATGGACTGATCCGGCCCATTTCAGCACCACAGTGATGTTGAGAATAGCCCACAGTGGGCTATTTTCAGGCGGTTCCACATGCACACACACTCAGATGCTGCATTCTGTGCATGGCTGAGCATGAACTACAGAGACGTGAGGGTCACAGTAAGGGTGCCACCAACCGTAAGCTGCCGGTAGTTGCTCATCGGGTGTTGACTAGGGAATCCGTGATGGCCTGTAGAGGAAGGCCGACCATATTAACAAGCCCTCCTATGAAAGGATGTCCAAATATAATGTCATCAGCCTAAAGCGGCTGCGTGTTGCATAAACAGGAGCAGAGCTCGCAATCTGTCTCTAAAAGGCTTTAAAATGTAAATGCAAACAGGCTGGATCAAAACAAATCAGGCCCATCGGAAAAACGAACGCCTCTTGCATTCAAATGTGACAGCTGTCTCGATTCCGTGCACGGGAAATGGAGCGTCTCCTGAATAAATGTGCTCTAACATCGCGACCTACAGCACTAATAGCATGTAGCGCCCTGAAGCAAAGCTGTAGCATGTGTGTACTTACTATTAGTTTCGATGCGCTCAGTGAAGATAAGAGTAAGTCCTCCGGGTGGGACCCGCCAGGGGAAAAGCCCGGTGTCAGATTATTTGGTAGAAATATGCATCTTTGCAACAATTTTTATGGCTCTGTTAATATGGCTATACAGTAAATGTGCAAGCTGCTCCGTGCCTAAACAGAATCTTACAAAAACGAGACGGCTCTCATTCGGATTGTTTCCGTGTGCTGCAGTTACGCATGGCCAAGAGAAGAGATGACAAAAAATCCACAGAGAAAAAAAGTCCCATACATCCACTATATACAAACGCAACCCCACCATAAACGACGAAACAGCGATTCACCACACTCCCCTCCTTTTTTTTCTCTCTCCACCTCTACGATCTTGAGCTAATTCACGACGTCATGATGGAGACGCGCCGTGCGTAACAGCCCCCCTCACGCATTTATCGGATCTTTTTTCTTTCCCTCCTCTCCAAGATGAAACATGCCGACGTCTAAAGCCCCACAACAGCAAAAACATAGCACAATCTTAAGAAGCGGCTTTGGATTTATAAGCTTGCAGATTCAGTCCACGTGGATAATTATATCGACGGCAGGAAGACAAGAGGAGGTGCAGATATGGCGCTGTGGTATTAACGCGGTCTACATTGTTAAGCCTTCCTCTAAAGCTCTTTGGAGCTTAAGTCAACGAGGCAGCAATCAGTCATCCCCACAACACTGGTCATCTATTAAATCAGCCTCTCCCCGTTCTTCCATCTTCTCGCGATCCTGCTTCATATTTATATGTCTGCTGAATAATTGAAGCAAGGCAGGGAAGAAATTCACAAATTCCCATCCCACTGAATTCGGCATGAAAGAACAGAAGGCCGGGCAGCAGGATCTGCTTTTATTGATTACAGGTGTGACAATCCAATCCGACTAACTCACAAATGCGATTCGGAGGGTGAAAAGTAACTGTTAAGACAGCGGTGAAAAGTGAGGTTTTTCAGATAAACTGACAATAATGAGACTTTAAATATGTCTGCGCTATTCAGAACATCTGTACAGCAAAGATTCAACATCTGTACATGTCAGTATTTTCCAGCTTTGTAATAATTACACAAATTTACAAGTCTTTCTTTTCTGACTTCATTGTTTTGCTTCTTTGACAAAAGTACAATCATAAAAGAACCAAAAAAAATCATCATCAGAACTCTTTCAATTCTTGTCAAAAATCAGTCAGGCTGTTAAAAATATTTTAAAATCATAAAGCGGGCACTCACTTCATATTTAAATGGTTCCAAACTGAGATTACAACAAACAACTACTCAAGCTAAATTTGTTTGTGTCAAGGCACACCTCAAATTACAACAAGGGCAAAAAATATACACAAATGTAAACAATATCCAAATCATCTGGATCATGACACTCCAGTGTTACAACACCACGTTAAATAAAACAAATAAGGCTGATTGTGTCAGTGTTTGTTTCAGCAAGCGGCGCTCAAAAACCGAAACGATGGAGTGCATGCTGCCTTAAGACTCATTTCAGGGATTTTCAAAAAACGCATTCTCTCGTGCTAAAACGTCCAAAAAACAAAAGCACAACTTGCAGCATGTTACAGGAAATAAACACACGGAACAAGGATTCAAACATGCTTTCACTCTGCATTGACAAAGAAACGTTTTTTACATTCTTCCCTACTCGATGAGGAGGTGGGGATCTCGGGGGCCCTGCGACCTTCTACCTTGAAGCGATCGCTGATGAGACTCGACTCGACTGGAGAGGAAACAACAGAGGAGGACGAGGGAGAATGTTTTTACCAGTCTCACCGAGTTAGATCAACGATTAGCCTGGGAAAGCAAAAAATGATGCCTTTTTAAATATGTCTGTTCAAACAAGGCTTTTCATCTTTCTTAGCTGCTCCTTCATGCTCAAGGAACAAATTCTACCCAGAATCCTTCAGAGGAGTAAATATACTGAATACTTGTCCTGCAGGGATGTAAGCTCTGTAGATCCTGTAGTGTTCTAACTAGGCTACACTGTTTACTGTGTTCAGCTTTAGAATAATGTGCACGTGCTTATTTACACCCATCGCTGCAGCTTTCCTTCTTTTTCTCTTAATTCCCTGTCTCATACTTTTGTTTGGTACCTTTTTAATGAGGGAAGTTTATCCTAATGTGGATTCCTGTTTTTATTTCTGTTTATTGTTTACAGCAGCTGCTTCTATGACAGCCTCACAAACTGAAGCTTCGGTGGTGCTGCTTGTAGAACTGTTGCTGTCGCTCTTTGGCGCTCGTTTCCACCAGCTTGTCTCTCTTATTGGTCACTCTGGTTTTTTCTTTCTCGCCTTCATCCCCGGTGATGCTCCCCACATCGCTGAGATCGCCGAGGTGCTCGATGGAGTCGTATTTCTCGAGGTCGGAAGCAATGGTCTGCAGGCTGAAGACTGAAAGGGAATCCGAGCCGGCTCGCTCCCTCTCCTTCTCATGCTCCTTCTCCTTGTATCTCTCCAGCAGGTCGATGGATGCGTCCACTCCATCCCTTCCAATGGCGCCGCCACAGGCTCCGCCTTCAGCCTGAACCTTGATGTCAGATTCTGCTCCGACGGGGGGGCTCCGCCCGGCGCAGATAGAAGGGCGTCCTCCCCCCTCGCCCGGGTCCCGCCCTCTCTGAGCGTGGATCTGCTCGCTGATTTGCTCCAAGTTCCGCAGGGCGATGGAATAGCGGGTCTTCACTTTGGCTACTTGCTGCTCCAGCTGCAGCACTTTGGCCTTGTGCTCCTGGAGTCACACAAAGCAACTTTCATCATCAATTTCAACATTGATTTCATGCCAGTAGGAAAATAACCTCCCAGTAACCTCCAGTAAATCCATAAAATACTGAATATATTATAGAAATTTTGCCAAATCAGCAGCTAAAGCTTTCTAAGTGTGGGAAACACTAAACAGAAGGTCTCACTGGGCTCTTTGTGTTTGTGTTACCTCCAGTATGTGGTTGAACTGGGCCTTGAGCTCAAAGTAAGGTTTGGACTTGATGATGACTCTCTTGAGGGACTTCTGCAGCATCTGCACACGCGCCTCGGCCTCCTGACAGGCGTGCGTGACACGCATGTGCTCCCTCTCACTGCGCAGACGCTCTTCTTCGGCTTCGTTCACCTGCGAGAGACACAGGAGACGCACGGCATTAACACAGTAACAGGAAACGGCATTTCTCTTAATGCAAATATGACTGGTTTTATCATAAACTTTGCCTTGATCTTCATTCCCAAACATTTAGCTCACTGTTCATTCATTAGTTCTTATTTTCTTAAAAAAGTAAAGAACTGAAAAGGCTTCTTGTTTAGTTTGTAAATGTCTGTCCACAGAGTTTCAGGCACACTGTGTATTGTTGTCTTTTCTAAATTTCTGGAAACATTTTAATAACACAATAAAACACAATTGAAGACTTTGTACTTTCTGTGTCTGTGCTGCCAAATGAAATAACACTTGATTATTTGTTTAAAAGGCCCTCACACAAACTCAAAGTAGTCAAATACATATTACACTAAAGCGTCAGGAAGTTATGGATTTTTAGGATATTCATTTAGACACAAGCTACCAACCATCAAGACCAACTTCAAGGCCTGAAGGACTTGGTAGACTTGAGAAATGGAGAAGAAAAATTAAGAACAAGACAAACTTTGGGCCTTGACATCGGTTACCTACAGGTACTCGGCTGATAACTGTCCACTTAGATTCCCTAATTAGAGTAACATCAATCATTCACCTCTCTTTGAACATCAGCAGCAATGGGCCTCCACTAAGCAGCTATTCTGACTCTGTCACATTATGGTAGGTGTTTATTTCCACAGACATTTAAAAAATAAAAAATAAAAAATAAAATTCTGCCACAGCAAAGATGATGATAGATGAAATTTTTATCTTATTTTACTCGTGATCCCATAAATGCAGTTTTTTTATATCCGAAATTTGAGGTTTAATGTTTTTAAATATTCAGCTATATAATCAGATTTCAATTATTTGTTGACACAGTGGGGTGCCACATTTCAGGTCTGTCTACTAGTAGGGCTGCCACGATTAGTCGACTAGTCACGATTACGTCG